GCACTTTGGGAGGCCGAGGCGGGTGGATCACAAGATTAAGAGACAGAGACCATCCTAGTCAACATGGTGAAACCCTGTCTCTACTAAAAATACAAAAAAAAATTAGCTGGGCACGTGGCAGGTGCCTGTAATCCCAGCTACTCAGGAAGCTGAGGCAGGAGAATTGCCTGAACCCAGGAGGCGGAGTTTGCAGTGAGCCGAGATCGCGCCATTGCACTCCAGCCTGGGCAACAAGAGCGAAACTCCGTCTCAAATAAATAAATAAATAAATAAAATAAAATAAAATATTTTCTCTACCTTTGTATGTTTCAAATTGTCCATAAGAAACAGCTCAGGAGAAAAGCAGATAAAAGAAACCCTAGAGAAAAATAGAAATGGTCTCTACTTCAGGGAGAGGGCATTGTACCTACAATGTAATGCATTTAACAGTAAAATACTTCACAAACACCTATTTGTTTTCCATTAATTAATCATGAACCATTGTTTTCCCCTAGGAAAGAAAAAAGATGGTATTGTGTTGACTCAGTCTGTTTACTGAGACTACCCAACTCTCTAGCAAGCTTGTTTTTGTGTTTTGTTTTTGTTTTTTGAAATCTAGTTGCCTCCAGGTGCTAACCACATACTTTCCCATCTTGCTCCAGACTCAATCACAATCCTTCTCTAATTATGACAAGGAAATCACCTGTCATCAAGTGTGGACATCAGACTGGGTTGCCATTCTACTTCCTTGCCTAAATATCGGAGATAAGAGAGGTTATGTCCCATCCGCACACTTTCTACTAAGCGTAAATGGAGCACTAAATCCAGTCAGGACAGAGCAACAAAAAGTACTGAAAGCTTCCGGCCTCCCCTAGGGCCATAAAACACCCCCTCCCCCATACACACAACACACACACAGAAATACTATCTTCCTTTAGCGTCACAATACTATGAAAAATTGGTCATTTGAACCACGTACAGTAGAGTGACTCAGTTCAATCTTCTTAACAGCGCTACTCATTCATTTTTGGGGCAAATATTTACTGAGCACAAGGATGTGCTGGAGCTGAATATGCCTTCATCAACAACACCCATGCCCTCAGGGATCTTACTCTCTAAACAAGGAGCCTTCACATAAAATGAAGAGTTTCAAATGCTGACACTTAAAAGTGCAGAAAGAAAAAAATACAGGGTACCTTAATACCATACAACAGTTAGAGAAGTTATGGACAGCTTCCCAAAGAAGATGCCATTTTTCCAATTCCATTGTTGATTCCTCAATGACACCATATAGTTTTTAAAATCTGCTATGAAACTAAGGCATTTAAAGTTTTTATTGTTTAAGGCTCTCTAAACGTTCAGGCACTAATACAGAAATCCTAATCAGTTATTTACACCAGTTAACTCAATCCAAACATAATTTTGTTAAATTTCACAAATCCAAAATTTGTGGAAGTCTAGAATTTCACAAATCACCTTGGGGGGAAAAAAGGTAATTTGTCTTTTTAGTTTAGTCATTTCAAAAAAAGTCAACCGGGCGCAGTGGCTCACAACTGTAATCCCAGCACTCTGGGAGTTCAAGACCTGCCTGGCCAGCATGGTGAAACCCATTGAAACTGAAAAAACAAAAATTAACGAGGAGTGGTGACAGGCACCAGCTATTCCCAAGGCCGAGGTAGGAGAATTGCTGAACCTGGGAGGCAGAGGCTTTGGTGAGCCAAGATCCTGCCAGCACCATTGCACTCCAGCCTGGGCAACAGAGTCAGACTCTGTCTCAACAACAACAAAAAGTCTAAATGTATTACCAATTTCTTCCCACCAAAATTAATCACACTAACAACTGGTAATACAAATTACAGAGCAGGATAAGGCAATACAAATACAAAAATGCAAATGAAAAACAGGTTGACACCTGAACGATAACCAAATTTTGTCTTAACATTTGCCTACTTGTGCTAAATGGCAGAAGAGGGATGATAAACTACCTAACCATAAATAATTTCCCTCTATTTAAATCAAGAGTTCCAACCTTCTGCCACAGCATTAACCCTTGGGTAGTCTTGCCTGAAAGGAGTTGGTCAGAGTAAATTACAAGAGGAAAAAGTGAAAAGAAAAAAAACAGAGAGCCTAGCTTAGCAGTTTTGAATTTTAGGGGTGGGAACATGTAAATGATCCTTTTGAGAATCTAAGAGAAGCTGTGAACACCTACCCTAGAAAACAGACATATTTTATTCTGCATACCATTTCAGGGAACTACGACCCCCTGCAGTGTATTCAAAGGTCACAGATTTAAAAACTTCATACTTAGAAACACAGAATTAAGAAGTCAGGCTTAAGATTATCAGCAGTCTAAAGAGTTAAAAGAAATTAGTGTGTACTGAGTCATTCACATGTTATCTAATTTAATTTCAACTCCTACAACAAATTTGAGAAGTAGGTAGTATTACCTTCTAAAGAGGGAAAGTATATTCAGAAAGATGAAATAACTAATGCAAGGTCAAGCAGCTTTCTCTCACACCCAGGCTTTGTAAACCATAGGTCCAAAATTGCAAATTAGAGAATTCAAGTCAAGTGCATGTTCCTAGAGATCGTTCAAGATGAGGAGTTTCTGGCAGGGGGGTGGCTCATACCTGTTATTCCAGCACTTCGGGGAGGCCAACGCTATCGGATCACCTGAGGTCAGGAGTTCGAGACCAGAATGGCCAATACGGTAAAACTCCATCTCTACTAAAAATACAAAAATTTAGCCAGGTGTGGTGTTATGTGCCTGTAATCCCAGCTACTCCGGAGGCTGAGGCCAGAGAATTGCTTGAACCCAGGAGGCAGAGGCTGCAATGAACTGAAAACTTCCCACTGCACTCCAGCCTGGGTGACAGCGTGAGACTTGTCTCAAAAAAAAAAAAGATGAGGCGTTTCTGACTTCCTGCGATTCATTCACATGATCCATTTATCTACACATTTCAATTTAACGAGAGAAATCAGTATGTATTCACCTTCAAAACATCTTTTCTTGGTAGCAGATAATCTTAACCAGATGATGAATAATGATCTAACTAGTTTTGATAACATTAAGTGTATTTTCATTTCTGAAGCAGCCTATAATGCCTGCTAGGAGAACATAAAGGTCCACTGAGTGCTGGACATACTCAAGCTTAGATTTTAAAATATACTCAGAAAATCCACAACACATCGCAAACAAATGAACAACTGACTGAATTTAAAACTTCAGTCTCGACTCAGAAACATGTAAGTTTCAAGTGGCCTGATAGCTATAGCATCCTCTAAATGGTTAGAGCAGCTTTAAAAGGCGGAGGAAGGGAACCCTTAAAAAACACTAACAAGATCCATGTCCCCTTTGTGCCTCAAGCAGGTAGTTTAAGGTCTTTGATCTTCGTGGAAAACCTGCTGATAAATGAATCCCCACAGAAAATAACATATATCAAAAATTAGGTACAGTCCCCTTAATCTTGTTGGATCCCTGTCCAGATCACAGCACCCAGTAAAACATTAATACACTTAACTCATCCTTTACAGCAGAATTATTGATAATTAGAATCTTGTTTTCACACAGATTTAGAAACCCTTTATGGGAAATGCATCCACACCCAGAGAATGAAGACTAAGAACAAGAGTGGGTCAGGTCCTCTAAAGCTATACTCCAACTGCTTCCTATGCGAGTTGCCACCTAGTGATTTTAATTTTTTAAGCCCAGGCAGGCTGCCAATTAAACACTAAAACCGGACTAGCAACTGATTTTTCCCATTGCAACATCATCAACAAATCCTGTGCTTTCCCTCGCTTTCCTTTACCGTCAAACAGCAATTCTCATTTTAAAAATCGACTGATTTGTTCTATAATCTGTTCCAACAGGAAGCTCTCATTAAGCTGTCACTGGTATTACTCTTCCTCCCAGTGCCAAGACGCCAACAAGCGGCCAATTCAAAAAAAACCTGAACAGAATTAAGTGAAGAAAAAGCCGGTGTGAAAAACAAGAAGGAAATGTGAAGACAGTAACAATAGGCAAACTAAGGACTTTTGGGCAAACAGTTGCCAAAGTTCTACCTATTCTTGGACCATAGACAAAAATTCTGCCAAATTAAATGGCTACAAGTAAGAGATAAAATTGTATTTGGGAACTATAAACTCAGTATTCCAAACCTCACTGAAAGCCTTGTCCTAAGTCACCTAAAAAATAACTTGAAACTGAACCCAAACTTCACTGGACTTCAGAATTCCTTTCTGACCATGGTGTGCCCAGGCCCAGTGCAGGTATTAGACAGCGAAAGCTGACCATTCAAAGAAATAGAAAATACCAAGGAAACGTCTGACAGTTTCCAGATACCTGGCCTGACCTTCATTTGGAGGCATACCCTTAGCTACAGCTATTTCTCTAGAGTATCTTTTTATCAGTTTAAAACTAACCAATAATTAGACCCTGATTTCACTAGCTACGGGTAGTAAAGGCTTGTTTTACAAAATAAAGTCCTGGCTTGCTTTCCACACTGATCTTGGCGGCTCACAAAAAATCTGACCAATTGCACTCTGGGTTACAAAGATCTTTTTGTAGCATCCTCAACTTGTACTTTAACTCCCACAGAAATAAGACTAAATAGGTAAAGCATCGTCTTTAAGTTCAAAATTCGCTTTGATTGCCAACAGAAGATATCTCCTAAGCATTTGTGGAAATGTTTAAAAGCTAAGAAATCCTTCATCCATTCGTGTTTCTCCATGAGGGGGTCAGAACCGCAGAGATCTAGGTTAAACTTCCCATCGGCTCCCAGCGCTCATCACCAAAACTGCTGCTCCTGCCTGGCCACAGGATTCCGGACGCTCCGTATTACAGGAGGCCCCCAAACCAGACTTTCCAAGCACTCTGCCCTCTCCCTCCCTCCTCTCCTCAGGCAGCATCATTACAGGCACGGGGAAAGTCGGTATCGTGGGCTGAAGTTCCCGGCCCGGGTGAAGGGTCCAGGAAACTTCCCCGGGGGTTGCACAAACTCCATCAGGGGGGCTGGACTCACCTTCCCGACAGAGCCCCATGACTTCGCGGTTTTTCCCAAACTCCTTGAAACTTTCGTCCAATTCTGTCCCTAGGAGATATACACACACAGGAGGAGGGGAGAGGCAGGTCAGTGGCTGGGAGTGTGACGCACGCTCACGCACGCACAGGGTAGGTGTGGGCACCTCCGCGTTCCGCAACCCAGCGAACGATAGCATCTCGGCCCCTCGAGGGGGCGGGTCACAGGACGGGGGCGAGGGGGAGGTGAGGTGGGGGAAGGGGTCGTGGGGTGGGGAGTGAAGAAGGGAAGAGGGCGTGGACACTCACCGTCCTTTCCAGGAAGTTTGGAAGCCTCAACCCACAGATTCCACGACTGTCCCAGCATTACTTCAGGACTGGGCAGGGGCCTGCGCTCCCCGACCGTCGCCATTGCGGCAGCCGAGGTGGAGGCGGCGCCGGGCCCGCCGTCCTCCGGCCGTGGACGCCGCGGCGGCGGCGGCGGCGAATGCTGCCGCTGGGGCTGCGAAGGCTGTTGCTGCTGCTGCTGCTGCCGCCGAGCGGCCGCAGCCGCTGCTCCGCCCGCCGCCGCCGCCGCGCGGCGCGGCTCCCCCCTGACGTCATCCGCGGCCCGCTCCGACATTCTTTCCGCTCCTACAATGTAACAAAAAAAAGGGGGGAAAGAGTCGCGCGGGGGAAGCTTTTTAAGGAGGCGCCGGGGAGTTCCGGCGGCGTGCGTGGCCCGCGGACCGGGTGGGGCGCGCTGACAGCGCCCCCAGGCCGCCCAACCCCCTGAGCCCGCCTCCTCGCGGCCACCCCCAGCCCCGGGCGCAAAGTCCGCAGAGCGGACTAGCTTTCGCTTTCGACTCTTGCGGTCCCTGGAGGGAGAGTACTGGCGGCCCGCGGCCCGCGGCCCGCCACCGCGACGCTGGGTCCCCTGCTTGCCTCTGCCCAGGGGACCCGGCGCAGAGGCCGGCACCGGAGCGGAGGCCGGCGCCAGAGCGGCCCCACGCCCCACCACAGCAGCCCGCGTGGGGAAGCCCGAGCCGCACCCCAGGTCCTCCAGCTGCCCACCCGGCGGCTGCTCGCATCCCCGGGCCTGGCCCGGCTGCCCCGCTCCTTCCTTCCGTCCGCCCGTCAGTCCGAGCTGCGGCGCCCGGCCGGCTCCCTTAAGCGGAGGCGCCTCCCGCCGCCTCCTCCCACTTGCCGGTCCCTCCCTCTCAGCTCGCTCTAGCGAAGTTTGCACGTCAAGCCCCCGGAGTGCAGCCAGGGCGAAGTCGGAAATGCAACCACCTATGGAGGAGTTGGCCGGCTGGCCCCAGGGCAGCGTGGGAGAGGCTGGTGCAGGGGGCACTTTGCCCTCGGCTTGGGGACCGCCGCGCAGTTGTCAAAAGCATGAATGGGAAGCCGCCGCCAAGCAGACGCTGGGCACGCAGGGAACCCTGGGCTGGTAACGAAGTGCCGCCCAGGTGTCAGGACGAAGTACCCCGTGCGCGCCACGCTGCCCACACGTGTGCCCCCGACCCGCAACTGGAAGTCACAATTGTGCGCCCGGGGAACTTGAACTCATCCAGCAAAGAGAGACCATGAGATCAGTGTGAGAGGAAATGGAGGAGTGAAACAAACCGAGAAGAGGTGTAATTCGTCTACATGTTTTAGAGGCACCACCCCAATTTTGGGGCTTCCATTGGTCCTGGAAGTGATTTATTCACCCCCAAAATAAAAATCTGATTCATTTTTAACTCGAGTTATTAGTCCTTCCCTCTTTCTGCTTGTCTTTTCTTGGGCAGGATGAGACACCAGGGATTAGTGGAATATAAGGAATTGCTACAAAACATGTTTAGAAAATACTGTTTTTGGTCAAATTTTGTTCAGTAAATTAAACACTGGCCCACAAAACGTAGCACCCCTCCCCAACACACACAACATTTGCTTAGTGATAGGCTACAGATGGGAAAATAAAAGGCAACTTAATGACCTAAAGCATTCAAAATAATTGAAACAGTACCAGACCACACCACTTTCAATAAGTGTTGATATTATTACTATTACATGAAATTGATGTGAAAATTTGAAGCCTGAGATAAAAACAATGATTCTGGCTTCCTTAGGAAGCCAGACCGGAGATTCCCGGGCAGAACAGCACCATCAGTCTTAACGCCACTGTTTTAGACGCAGTGGGTTGCTCAGATTCCGGCACTGGGAAGCAATAAATTGGATGTCCACTCAGAAACCTAATTAGAAAGGCGATAACTGCAAAGAGGACAGATGGATAAATTTATAACGAAGGGAAGAAACCAGCTTAAAAAGGCTGAGAATACCCAAAATCAGAACACCTCTCCGTCTAGAGGGGATTACAGTTCCTCATCAGCAACCGAACAAGGCCTGATGGAGAAGGACTGTTCCATTAACAGAAGTAGGCTTCAGAAGGTGGATGATAAGAAACTTCTGGGAGTTAAAAGGAACTTGTTCTAACCCAATGTAAAGAAACTAAGAACTTTGAAAAAAGGTTTGACAAAATGCTAACAAGAATAGACAATATAGAGAGGAATATAAATGAATTAATGGAGTTGAAAAACACAACACGAAAACTTAGCGTAATATGCACAAGTTTTAATAGCAGAATTGATCAAGCAGAAGAAAGGATATCAGAGGTCGAAGACCAACTTAATGAAATAAAACCAGAAGACAAGAATAGAGAAAAAAGGATAAAAAGGAATGAGCAATGTCTCCAACAAATACGGGACTATGTGAAAAGACCTACTTTACATTTGATAGGTGTACCTGAATACGACGAAGAGAATGAATCCAAGCTGGAAAATACCCTTCAGGATATTATTCTGGAAAACTTTCCCAACCTAGCAAAGCAGGACAATATTCAACTCTAGGTGATACAGAGACCACCACAAAGATATTCCTCAAGAAGAGCAACCCCAAGGCACATAATTGTTAGATTCACCAGGGTTGAAATGAAGGAGAAAATACTAAGGGCAGCCAGAGAGAAAGGTCCAGGTTACCCACAAAGGGAAGTCTATCAGACTTACAGCAGATCTCTCAGCAGAAACCCTACAAGCCAGAAGAGAGTGGGGGCCAATATTCAATATCCTTAAAGAAAAGAACTTTAAATCTGGGAATTTCAGCCCAGAATTTCATATCCAGCCAAACTAAGCTTTAAAACTGAAGGAAAAATAAAATCTTTTATGAACAAGCAAGTACTCAGAGATTTTATTACCACCAGGCCTGCTTTACAAGAGCTTCTGAAAGAAGCGTTACACATAGAAAGAAACAACCAGTATTAGTCTTTCTAAAAATATACCAAAAAGTAAAGAACATCAACATAATGAAGAATTTACATCAACAAATGGACAAAACAGCCAGCTAACCTCAAATGGCAATAATACTAAATTTAAATCAACTAAATCCCCCAATCAAAAGATACAGCCAAAACCCAACGGTATGCTACATCCAGACCCATTTCACATGCAAGGATACACAAAGACTCAAAACAAAGGGATGAAGAAAGATTTAACAACCAAATGGAGAGCAAAAATAAATAAATAAATAAAAAGCAGGAGTTGCAATTCTCGCATCTGATAAAATAGATTTTAAAGCAACAAAGATATAGTGGTTAAAAGGATCAATCAACAATTAAAGCTAACGATCCTAACACCCAGAGACATAAGACCTATAAAGAGACTTAGACTCCCTAGACTCCCACACAATAATAGTGGGAGACTTCACCATCAATATTAGATAGATCAACAAGACAGAAAATTAATAAGGATATCCAAGACTTGAACTCAGATCCGGAACAAGTAAACTTAATAAACATTTATAGAGCTCTCCACTTTAAATACACAAACTATACATTCTTGTCAGTACCACATCACACCTACTCATAGGTTTAAATGAAATATTGATCGGCCATTATTAAGCACAATTATTGGCATAAAAGAGGTTTTCAATACCCATTTTTAGAATAAAGCAACATTCCCGTTCTCTCTCTCTCTTTTTCTTCCTTCCTCCTCTCCTTCACAAAAAAAAAAAAAAAAAAAAAAAATCCGGGGACAACTAAACTATTTTGGAGATGACTGCAAAAAGCACAGTGAGGCGTAGGGAAGTAAGACAAAGAGGGAAGACAGTCTATAAAGACTGTGTTAATTAGCAGTTTACCATTTTGGGTAACTGAGGCTCAAACCTCTGAGCCTCTGAGTGGATTGAATACACCTGTATTCAATCTGTGGGACTGAATACACCTGTTACAACATTAAAGCAGTGATTATAAGAAATAAGGAAATGTTATCCTGATTGATTAATCTTCATGTATTCTATGGGATTGACAATTGAAAGAATTTCATCAGATAGGCTACTAGACTCAACTCTGTTCAGTTCTCTATAAAAATAGTACATATAACAAGTTCTAATTAGTGACTGTGTCAACCACCAACCTAGCTGTTCTGTATCTTCCCCCTATTTAATCTGCAGACTAACACAGAGAGTTACTGTTATTCCAATTTCAAATGAGGTGCTGAAAGATGAAGTAATTTGCTCAGTTTGATCAAATGGTGTAAAGGGAGGTTTGAATCCAAGTACACCTGATAGTAAACTCTAAGCCCTCTCCATATCATACTGTGTTACAAAGTATATCCAATTTGATGCAGTTCATATAAAATAGTGCAACTAGTTCAATTGGCAGAATAAAAAATAAGTAGCAATCATCCAAGTTTATATCATTTAGTGATATTTTAGGCAGTTTGTTAAAAATATAAAATTATCCATATGAAAAGTCAAAATAGGAAAGAAAGATGGTCTCATGGAAGTGCTTGCCTTCCTAGAAAAAAGTGGAAGCTAAATGGCCAAGTTTAATCATTATTTGTACAATCATCCTTGCTGAAAATAAAAGTGCATGAAATATATAGCAATTTGAAAATGAGTCAATGAAAAAAGTAGTTAGTTTTTTCCTCCTCATTGAGTCAGTATTTGTCAAACTTAAAAATTCTAGACAGCTTGTCAGCCATGTTTTAAACTATCCCCCTAGTCTTTTTTGACATATGCTTTTTTGACCACCTGTCTGCCAGCAAAATTTGTATGCACAGTCCTTAACACTGCAATGTATAAAAATCCACATGCCCTGAGGGGTAGCAGTGTGTGCAAAGCAGACAATTAGAATCCTATATGCCTTTCTGTTAAAAAAAAAAAAAAAAAAAAAAAAAAGCAATGATTCTGATCAGCATGTTTCACACTGCAGTAGTATCAGCACTCCTGTAATGTGTGTCAGAGATGCTTGTTCGTAAGTGCTTTCTCCGACTAGATCGGGAGGAAATGGAATTATTTTTTTCTTCTTTTTTTTTTCACCTCAAACATCTGGTGTGACAGAGGTGGCCAACTTCTTTGTTGGTCCAACTTGCAGAAACACAAAAAAGTTTACATAAGCATAAAAATTAATAAAGAAATGTTACTGCAACCCAAATATAAGGTGGGAATAGTAGAGCGGGTTTATTTGGAGTTCACAATTTAAAGGCGCGCATGCACACACACACACACACATATAAATAATACATATACATACACACATTTTTATTTTAGAAAGATTTAGAAATAAGTCTGCAAATTTTTTTCCTGGAAAAAAGTCCAAAAAGTGAAACCATGGTTACTTCCTGTTCTTATCAAAATATCCAAAATAGTAGAAATGATTGGAAAGATTTAATTTTAAAAATCATTTCTAAAGCATTAACTTCCTCCATAAGACTATCAATGAGAAAAATGTAATTCCCTTGACAGGAATCGAGTTCCCTCCTAACTTTTAACACAGCTTAGATGACCTTTGTGCAGATTTTCAATTTTTCATTCATTCCAAATCACTGTAATATCTGAGTAATTATATGTAAACACCCAACCTCTCTGTTCTCCTGAAGTACATAATTTATTAATTACTTGGAATTTTGAAATTCTACACTTAAGAAAAATAAAAATTTGTATTTTAATGGCATTTGAAGCTTCCATTGAAAAGAAAAGCTTGCAGCCACTAAGCCATATAGGTAACAAAGAGAGCTTGCTTGTTGATTACAGCTCTTCAGATCCTTGAAAGTGCAGAGTGAGAACAAAAATAAGGAGAATGGCAAACATGAAGTATGGTCCTACTTCCTCAAGACATTGCTTGATTTTCCTCTTTTTCATGTGAAACTATTTCAAGATTCATTAATATGACTTGTAGCCAACAGGAATCAACATAGCAATTTAGAGTACTTCTTCTTTCCCAATTCCTGCTTGATACTTCTTTCTTCTTCAAAGTTTTTGATTGGTTTAATAAAGAAAACACAACAGGGCTTAAAATGAAAAATATTAAGTATCCTCTTGGCATTATGATAGTTATTAAGGGAAATTATTACTAATAGCAGCTACCAATTATTGAGAAATCTCATAAATAAGCACTATAAATAAGTGTCTTATATCAAACTGAGCTCTCTTAGGAAACTTGCTATCAAACTGAAGAGGATATGGGGACAAGGGACTGATGAGCACTTCCTGGTACTGCTCCATCTAATTCTCTTTTGCTGCAGCCAATTCATTTTACCCACTCTTTCTTCACCCATAAAAAAGTCCTAACTCCTAGAAATATTCTGATATCCACAGCTGTTAGAGGTTTCCTTAAAGTTGGAATGAGTCACCAGAAAAAGTCAAAACTGCAAGCTGAGACAGTGCATTTGATTTTTGCATTTTGGCAACTTAAAAAGTGTTCTTTATGAAAAGCACACTGTTTATAAGCAAGAGTACAACAGAAAGCCACCCTTACTTTTATTACCTACAGCCCCACAGTAAAGAACTTGATGACCTCTTATCTAGATAATCCCCTTCCCATACCACCAAATATAAGAATATTTATATATAAATACAAGAATATGAATATATATAAATTGTGTGTGTGTGTGTGTGTGTGTGTGTGTGTGTGTGTGTGTGACGAGGTCTTACTATGTTGCCCAGGCTGGTCTCAAATTCCTGAGCTCAAGCAGTCCTCCTGCCTTGGCCTTCCAAAGTGTTGGGATTACAGGCAGGAGCCACCACTCCAAGCCAATACAATTTACATTCATTTAATATGTTATTTTAATGTAGTACTATGCCTATATAATATCAATCAGTGCTTCTGCCAGTGCACTTCTGAGGATGCCTCATAACTCTATGGAACTTCACTGTCTGCACACTGAAGTAATATTCATTTTATAAGGCTTGAGTAATAAGCATTCAATTTATCCAACAATTCCTGATTGCCTGCTACAGACCAGGCACCAGGGTAAACACAAGATAGTAATTTCACTGAGTATGTGAGAAAAGTAGGAAGAAGGGGAAACAATTCATCAACACATTCTTGTGGAAAAAAGCTGTCACCACCAACTAGATTATATATGGCTTAAGAACTGGGCTGTCAAAGGTGAAGTACTGCAAATTTTGTGCATTTCATCTCTTCCAAGGACCTATTTAAAATGTGGTCTTATCTCATCATCCAAATTTAGGGATGTTCACAGTAGATGCCAAGAGTAGTAAGTCTCTCTTTACAAAAAGGATTCTTTGCACTCATAAAATGTTTTGTTCAAAGGCCAAAGGTATCACAATGTACAAAAAACAAAAATCAAAAAGGTTGACCTTTCCACCATTAAATCCAGTTTAATGTAAAAAGGCTAAAACTACCCAAAACATTTCTAAGATATAAGATACTACACAACCATTTTTAATTGGAAAAAAACCACCAGTCCCCATACAACATTTTAATAAACTTGAAAAACAGTAACTACAGCATATTTATCTGTGTAAATTACAGGGTTTGTAACAGAGATTCTCCATTATCAACCCCAAAGAACTGAAGTCATTTCAGTAACAAGAATCTCAGATCCACTAAATTAGGAATGTGTTGGCTTTGGTTTCTTCATATCCTCCTAAAATTGGCTGAGCCTTTGTTCAAATCCTCTCTCACTCCTCTGACCATATCTTTTCCTTTCCTTCTTTCTTCTCCAAAGAGAGCCATGGCAGTATTCTGCACAAGGGGCAAGTCTTTCCTTAACTGTGCTCCCTCTAGTGAAATACCTTACAGTTTGTCATGAATATCAGTATTCCAGTAGAGGGAGAACAGTGAAAGAGTAAATTGAATTCATCAGCTCAGTGGCTGGAATTGACAGCAATCAAGTGCAAAATTAGGAATAATGACAGTTGCAACAGTGAGGACTTAAAGACATAAATAGCATTTTAAAAACTTAACCTGTACACATACTCATTCTACAGTAAAATGTATCACTTGCTAAATATCTCAAAGCCTTGAATTTTTTTATTGTTTTCTTAATCATACGTGTGCATGTACATATGAATTCTCCCAAAGAAACATTCACCACTAATAGCAAATTATTTGAAAAGAGAAGAAAATTTAAAAATACACATATTAAAGGTAATAAATTATAACATAAAAGCTAATTAATAATGCCTAGCATTTCTAAGGATTTCAAACTGGCTTGTAGTTTTATGACAAACTTGATTTGAAATGTTGATTTAAAGTCCTTAGGCCGAGGAGTTTTTTAAAAATAGAAGGTTTTAAGTTATAGAAAAGGAATGGAGGCTGGGTGTGATGGGCTGATGCCTGCAATTCCCGCAATTTGAGGGGCCAAGGCTCAGGAGTTAGAGATCAGTCTGGGCAACATAGTGAGGCATCATCTCTAGTAAAAATGTAATAATAAAAAAAAAAAAACAGCCAGACATGCCAGCATGTGCCTATAGTCCCAGCTACTTAAGAGGCTGAGGTGGGAGGATTGCTTAAATTTGAGAGATTGAGCCTTCAGTGAACTGAGACCATGCCACTGTACTCTAGCCTGGATGACAGAGCAAAACCCTGTTTAAAAAAAAAAAAAAGACAAGGAATGGAAAATTTGAGCCCATATTCAGCTATAAAAGGAAGTTGACTATGGAGTTCTAACATACTGCCTCAGCTGCCATGAACTGCAGATTAAACACATTGTTACACATAATTTCCTATATACCTTTGCATTGACAGTGCTTTCACTGAAGTGGCAGTAAATATCACCATTTTTTGAGCTCAGCCATTAAGAGCAATGGGTTCTAGGGCCTCTCTGCCCGGGCTGAATCCCACTTCTACCACTATGAGCCGTATAACTCTGGGGAAATCAATTAGCCTCTCTGTACCTGTGTCTACATCTATTAAGAGTATGAGAAAAATTAAGAAATTAACAGTGCAAAAGCACACCGTGTCAGCTATTATTATTGGCACCATGCTTGTCACATAGTAAGCCCTAATTGTAATCTATGTATGCTATACTATCAGACCAATCTTGCTGAAGGATGGCCTTAGCCATGTTAGTGTTTGCTCTAACATTTTTAGGGGCTCCCCACTGAAATAAATAAATAAAAACTTCTCTCCTAGCATTCAAGTCCTCTACAGTCTGCCTGGACTCAACTCCGCCACTTCTACAGTGTTCAATTGCCTCCTGCAGGTAAATTATGGTCCAGCCCACATGACAAATTCAGAACTTCAAACATGCCCCCATCCCAACCCCATCCAGATACCAGCTTCCAAGCCTTCGCTCATATAGGTCATTCCATCTGTAACAGTTTCCCTCCCTTAGCTGAAATCCTACTGTTCAATCAAAGTTCTTCCACAAATTCCATTTCTGTAACCAACTCTTTCCTGAACCCTCTAAGCACATGGGAACTCATCCCCACCTTTATAACACAGGGTTTCATAATTAGAGTGAAGGGTATATGCTCTGAAATCAAGGTGACAATGAGACATACATTTAGCCTCCCAGAGATCAACAGTTTGCATTCCCAACATAAGGGTGTTATTTGGAACCTGGAACCCACCTTCCCACCAACCATAAGATGAGTTGTAACCATGTCTCCAAACTGGTCAGCAAAATGCCTTTGGGTGGAACCCAAGGACTAACAGTGCAGATGTGTTAGTATAAGAGGGAAGGAACAACACGGATGTTTCTTCCTCCCTTCCTCAGCCAAGGTTCAACTCTGAGCAAAGCCAAAGATCCAGTAAACATAGCACCCTTCATTTTCCACATTCCTTCTTTGCGCTGTGATGCAGGAGCCTATCTGGGTTTGTACTGTTTCTCAAAAGAGTCTGTTCTACAAAAACTTGCATTTCCTTTCTATCTCCAAAGTAAAGCTTTCCTTTTCTTGATGGAGGTAAAGGCCTGTAGATTCAACTATTTTTCACTAATGTGTGTGAATGACTATGAATGAATACAGTTCTCTGTATTGACCTTACCCCAAATGACTTCTAGATGTACTGGTCCATAAACCTTTCTTCCTAGAAACACACAATTACTAACCACTCTCATGGCCATTCTGATTTTAAAGGACATCATCTATGGCTCGAGGCAAATATTTATATTCACCAATTTATTCTTTTGTTTTAACCTATATTCTCTTTTGTTCAACATAAAATCTTTAAAACCTGGAGACCTTAATCCTCTGTCCACTTCCTACTCCATGCCTCCATGTCTACGTTAAGGTGTTCTAATTGAAGGAACGTCAGGAGTGGAAAAGGGGAACCAAAACAAAGCTGCTCCTGGTGAGAAATCTGCCTTTTCTGCCTTCCAGAGCTCGCTTCATCTCTTTAGAAAACAGGTGTTTTCAAAAGTATGAGGATTTTTCCAAATGGTTTCTGGGGCAGTGGCAGCAGAGCAGCAATCACAAGTGGGCAGTTAGTGGACTGGAATCTGACTCACCAGGTCATTTCTTTTTAAAAACAGAGTCAAATGGGCAAATTCAACTTCATCAAAATTAAACTTCTGTGTTTCAAAGGATACTATCAAGAAAATGAAAACCTCCAGAACCTACACATTTTTGCAAATCATATATCTGATAAGGGACTTGACTCTATAATGTAGAAAGAACTCTTCCAGCTCAGTAAATTAACAACAACAGCAACAAAAGAAGTTCAACGTCATTAGTCATTGAGAAAATGCAAATCAAAATCAGAGTTACCACCTCTCATCCACTAGGATGGCTGTAATAAATAACAATAACAACAAAAGAACAGAAAATGATGACTGTTAGCAAGGATATGAAAAAACTGGAATCCTCATACATTGCTGGCAGGAAAGTAAAATAGTACAGCCACTGTGGAAAACAGTGGTAGTTATTCAAAAGGTTAAACACAGAATTAGCATATGATCCAGCAATTCCACTTTTAGGTATATACTCAAAAGAACCGAAAGCAGAGTCTCAAACAGATACTTGTACACTAATACTCTTTAGCAGCATTATTCCCAAAAGCCCACATGTCCATCAACAAATGAATAAACAAACTGTGGTATATCTATACAAAGAATATTATTGCCAGGCATAGTGGCTCATGCCTGTAATCCCAGCACTTTGAGAGGCCAGGTGGGCGGATCACGAGGTCAAGAGTTCAAGACCAGCCAGGTCAATATAGTGAAACCCCATCTCTATAAAAACATTAAAAAATTAGCCAAGGATGGTGGTGCGTGCCTGTAGTCCCAGCTACTCAGGAGGCTAAGGCAGGAGAATTGCTTGAACCCAGGAGGTAGAGGTTGATGTAAGCCAAGATCATGCCACTGCACTCCAGCCTGGGCAGCAGAATGAGACTCCATCCCCTCCACACACACACACACACAAAAAAAAATTATTCACCTATAAAATAAATGAAGCACTGATAAATGCTCCAACATGAATGAATCTTGAAAACATTATGCTAAATGAAAGAAGACAAATAGATCACACATTATATGATTTCATTTAGGTGAATTATCCAGAATAGGCAAATCTATAGAGAGAGAGAGAGCAGATTAGTGGTTTCCAGGAGCTGAAGAAAGAGAAGATGGGGGACTGCTTAGGAATGGGATGGGGTCTCCTTTGTGGGTGCTAAAAATGTTTTTGACCTAGATAGAAGAAACAGTTATATAATATTGTAAATACACTAAAAACCATCGAATGTACAGTTTAAAGGAGTAAATTTATGGCATTTGAATTACATCTCAATAAAGCTAATTTTTAAGCCAATATTAAAACTTGAAAAATTTCACAAAAAATTCCAGATTGACTTTTCTTGGGAAAAAAAAAAACAAACCCTAACTAAAATCTGACACCACCAACTATAGCACTCCTCATGGGAACCACAAGTTGGAGATGAAGCTGGTCCTGGAACCCATCTCTGCCACCACCTAACTCTGGATGTGGGCAGAATAATTTTTTCATCTGTACCTCAGTTAGCTCGTCTGCAAAAGGAAGGTAACAATAATATCTATCTCTTTAACCTATGAAGAGTCAATAAATTAATATGTTCAGAATAGTGCCTGGCACATAAGTGCTCAGTATGTGTTAGCTACTCTTACATTTTGTAACAACTCATCCTCTAACAGAGGGATGTGGCCTTAACTTTTCTACTTTTTGTTTGTTTTTACAAATAAAATAGCATATAATGTAATGGTCCAAAAGAAAGAAGTTCAAAGACAGCCAAAATAAACATTTCTTAAAGAAACATGCAAAATACTATGAATAATAGGTGCTTATTTTTGTGAAAAAGTGATTGATGATGATGATGATGATGATGATGATGATGCTAACTCTGCAAAAAACCATCTAGATTACTCTGGATTTACCATATGAGAAGCAAGAGGTAAAAGAATTAAAGATGCTTTAATTCTTTAAGCTTAAAGGAACTTTTTATTAACATACATATTTATATAATGTTTTGATTTTTTTATCAACACAGTTTTATAGTCAGGATGATTATTTTAAAAGACAATGTCCTTTTATAGGGATTTTTTTAGAAGAAGAAACTCTAAACTAATATTGAAACTTTCGTGACATTGTCACAAAACTCGTTAGGTGAGTAGCAAGGGCACAGACTGATAAAACTACAGGCCACTTCCTTTGCTTGAAACCCAATCTTTAGCTGGGATTCCCAGATCACCAACCTCTCTTGAGTTTTCTTCTTCCTCATGGAGTATATGGTGCTATATTTACAGCTGCTAAACTCCTTGGCTGGTCAATATCTTTCAATATCTAGCCAAACCTTTTCCCACCCTTAGCATCCACGATTCCCCCTTACAAAGACTCCACTCTAGCTAAACCAGCTTCTCACATCCAAGACATAAAGTATACATTCCTGAAAGTCTTCCTAAATGCTATATTTTTAATACAATTCACATAATACAAAATTCACCATTTTCATTGTTTTATTATTATTTATTTATTTTGAGACAGGGTCTCACTCTGTTGCCCAGGCTCAAGTGCAATCCAGCTGGTACAATCATGGCTCACTACAGCCTCAACCTCCAAGACTCCAGTGATCCTCCCACTTCAGCTCCCAAGTAGATGAGACAGACTACAGGCGCATGCCACCACACCTAGCTAATTTTTTTACTTTCTTATAGAGATGGGGTTGCAAATGTTGCCCAGGCTGGTCTCAAACTCCTGGACTCAAGTAACTGTCCTGCTTTGGCCTCCCAAAGTGCTAGGTTACAGGTTTGAGCCACTGCACCAGGCCCTTTAACCATTTTAAAGTGTACAATTTAATGACATTTAATAGATTCACACTGTAGTACAACCAACATCACTATATACTTCCAGAACATTTTCATCACTCCAAAAGGAAACCCTGTACTCATTAAGCAATTACTGCCCACATTCCCTCCCCAACCCCCGAAAACTACATCTGCTTTCTATCTCTATGGATGTGCCTATTCTGAATATTTCATATAAATGGAACCACATAATATGTAGTCTTTCGTGTTTTGTTTCCTTCATTTAATAAAATGTTTTCAAGCTTTATCCATGCTGAAGCATGTTATCAATACTTCTTTCTTTTTATGGCTAAATAGTATTCCACTGTGTAATATACACACACACAATGGAATACCATTCAGTCTTTAAAAAGAAGGAAATCCAGCCAGATGTGGTAGTTCACAATTGTAATCCTAGCACTCTGGAAGGCCAAGGTGGGAGGAACACTTGAGCCCAGGGTTCAGGGGTTCCAAACCAGCCTAGGCCGGAGACCCCTGCCTCTACTTTTTTTTTTTTAAAAGGGAACTATTGTCATTTGCAGCAACATAGATGAAATTGGAGGATATTATGTTAAGTGAAATAAGCCAGGCCCAGAAAGACAAACAGCATACAATCTCACTTATATGTGGAATCTAAAAAAGTTGAAGTCATAGAAGTAGAGAATAGAATGGTGGTTACCAGAGGATAGAGGTGAGGGGTTTAGGGTCAGTTAGTCAAAAGGTACGACATTTCAGTTAGGAAGAAGGAACTCAACTGCAGAACATGTTTACTATAGTTAATAACAATGTATAGCATTCTTGCAAATTACAAAGAGACTAAGTGCTCTCACAATCAAAAAATGATAAGCATAAATAATGCCTACGTTAATTAGCTTGATTTAAGCCACTGCACAATGAAGACATATTTCAAAAGAATAAACTGTACATGATAAACATATCCAATTTTTACTTAAGACAAAATAAGTGTCAATTCAATGGCAGGGATATTTGTCCTTTCAATATACTAATTTATCCCCAGTGCCCAGAAGAGAACATAGCACATAGGTTGGCATCCAATAAATCTTTGTTGAACGAACAGATATTGGGCCTACAATCTGTTGATGCTGAGAAGGGGTTGCCACATTAGATGGATCATGGACTGGATGGTTTCTCACAGTTCCACCTGGCTTACTTTATTCCCCTCCCTGGTCTCTCTGGCCTCTACAGACTTTTGAATTTGTGACTCCTCTTCTTTCTCTGCCTCTTGGTCATTTACTTCCTGGCATCATAATAACCTTTTCATTGGTATAATATTCAAAAAAGCACAAGTCATCACTGTATTCCATGTAAATCACCTCCTAGTCTTCTTTTCCTCCCAGGGCCAGTCTCCATGCACACAGTGGAAACTCCATAAACTAGGCACTGAAGAGCTCCTCTGGCATTCTGCCAAACAAGTTTCCTTCTAACTTCTTCCAATACCTCTCCATTGTTAGTGACTGGACACCATAGAGGAAAGCCTGTTTCTCTCATCTCTGGCACCTTGCAGACATGACACAGTAAGCAACATTCAATGCGATGACTTCAATGATCACTGAAAGGTATCTCTGCATTATGCCCTCCAGCTTTAGTCCAGAAAATTTTAAGGGACTGTTTATAAGGTGAAGACTTCATAGCTTCCCAAACTCTTGTTCTTTTAAACATCTAAACCGTACCAAAACACACTTTGTGAAGCAGTTTCAGATTGATACTGGTAAAAATGTTATCTTTCACATGTTGTCTGAAATGCTACCATTTTTGCTGCAGTTGCCTAAAACCTGATTGTGGCATCACATTTATTGCCTAAGTATATAAGATGATTGATTCCAGGGGCTGAAACTCCTTTGGTCTTGTTTCGATTCTGTTCTGTTTTATTCTTTAATGATTCATCTTAAACTGCACCTTAACTTATAGCTATCTCATTCCTTTCAGAAGTAAGAAGATAATTTTTTTTATTTGCTTGTTTTTAAAGATAAGGTCTTGCTGTTGCTCAGGCTGGTAACTGCCGCCTCAAGCTCTTGAGTTCAAACGATCCTCCCACTGCAGCCTCCTGAGTAGCTGGCATGCACCAATGTGCTTGGCTAAGTTTTAAAATTTTTTTGTAGGGATGGGGATGTAGCTATATTGGCCAGGCTTGTCTCAAACTCCAGAGCTCAAGCAATCCTTCCACCTCAGCCTCCCAAAGTCCTGGGATTACAGGCATGAGCCACTATATTCAGCCTTTTTTTTTTTTTTAATCAAATTTCCTCCAGGAATTTCCTGTTTCATATTATGTTAAACTTCGTCACTATCCTCCCTAAACAATAAACGTATAATGGTGCACATCCAGTGAGAAACTTCATTCACGTGCCAAACATTGGAGGCTCGTGCCTATAATCCCAGCACTTTGGGACGCCAAGGCCGGTGGATCACTTGAAGTCAAGAGTTCGAGCCAGCCTGGCTAAAATGGCGAAACCCCATCTCTACTAAAAATACAAAAATTAGTCAGGTGTAATGGTGTGCACATGTAGTCCCAGCTACTCTGGAGGCTGAGGCACAAGAATCACACTAACCTAGGAGATGGAGGCTGCAGTGAGCCGAGATCACGCCACTGCACTCCAGCCTGGGTGACAGAGTAAGACTCTGTCTCAAAAAAAAAAAAGAAACTCCATTAATGATGGCTGCTATTTTTGTAATGATCAGAGACTGCTCATTACCACAGAGCTGTCTGGCAGCCTGGGCAAAGGCACTGGTCCCAGAAGGTGTCTCTGAAAAATGCTTGACTGTTTTACAATCTTGCTTAGGATCTCCCCTGCTCTAAGCAGCTAAGTCTACATTACAGGGAAAGACAAGAAAACAGGAGCTGGGAGAATGGTGCTGGAAAGAAATAAGAGCACACTTTTGGATCACTTCCTAGAAAAAAGTGGGTATATACTGGAAGAGAAGGAGGATTCTGTATCTAAAGTCTTCCTATAATTTTAACAAATTTGGAGGGGATATTATCTAGCAGTTTTGTGTTGAGAAACAAACACATAATAATATCATACTCCTAAATTCATTGTCATTTTATTTTTCTAAGATCAAATTCAGGGTTACATTTAACATTTAAGATCTTACTCAGATGCCTTAAAATTAAAAAACTATCATCCTGTGGTAAAACTCAAACTCTATTATAACTGGAAGCACTGTATTTATTCAGCTGCACTTGCTATATCAGAACAGCCAGTTACCTTTTCTTTGGAGGATAGGCCAAAAATCCTGATCGATTTAACAATGGATCTTCATCTGCTGCAATTGTGAAAGCTTGTTCTTCTTAATTCTGTTCAGATCTAAAAAAACAGAAAAAAGACAAATGAATAAAACAGTGGATAGACAAAGCTAATCAGAAACATACAATCTCATTGGTTGCCAGATATTCCAAAATTATTATATGCGCTTTGCGATGTCAAACTGTTAAATTACAAGACATTTTACCAATTTTATAACAAATGCAATTTGTTTTTTGTTTCTTTTTTTTTTTTTTACAATGAACTTCATTGGCTATATTTACAGTAAACTAAGAATAAATGACTATTCAATATATACACAGAGTTAGCCTCCTGGGGCTTAAAATCACTCTGTATGTAATTTGCCACTAATGAGTTTCCACTTAATTTTTAAAATAGTGATTCAGAAAGCCTGCTCTTATGAAACCTGTCAAATCACAGATTTTAAAAATATACATTGAGTGAGATTATTATTTGGAGAACTCACGCTGTCCTTATCATTCAGCAGTTTATAAAAGCAATTTTTAATACTTCAACAAGAAACAAAAATTGAATTAAACCATCTTCCTAAAAAGCACAAGGGAACTATGTGCTCCATTATCTTCATGGTTGTATGCATATGTATTTCAGGTAAAATGTAGCTACTTTTTAATTAATTTGTGGAGGAGCAAATGAGTTAAGGAGTCAAGGAATTACAGAAACCAAAGTTAGAAAATAAGCTGGTCTTCAAATCTGATATGCAGCAGAAGAGAAAAAGCAGCAAATATAAGCAATGACACAGCTATGGGGCAGATGTTGTCAAGGTACAAAGCACAGTTCCCACGAAAAATTCACTGCTCATATATTTCTCTCCCTATAATCCTCACTGGCTATACAGCAAGATGTGAAGGAGATAACATTGCTTTGCTTAACTTTTATTAATTTTCATGTACTCGAAGATGGTAACCCAAATATTTCTATGGCCTGAGATCCTAAGATACTAATAAAGCATCTCTGAAAATCAGTGGCTAAAATTCTATGCAATGTTTTGAACATTTATTCATACTTATCTTTATTAGGTCATACTGCTGCCCTCTCACTTTTTAAAAGTGTCCATTTTATTCACTCAAAATGCTATTTTGTAATGCTTAAAATAATTCCTACAATCTTTATAAACCAGATGTTTCTCTTCAGATTTCTAATTCTTTCCCAGTCTCCTTTCTTTTTAAAATTTCTGATTTCCATTTAGTGCTCCTTTTCTGCCTTATTTCCAATAAAAGCTGTTTTCCTGTTTAACATGTCTGTCCTGAGCCAAAATGCATTTCTTTGAATCCTAAATACTTTATAGCTAGGCAAAACTCAATAAAGATGTTATATTCAAGATAAGCATTCATCACCCTGATGGTGACTCCTTCAGAGTAGACAGAAGGTGAAGGCGAAACACCACCGGCATCAGATCAGACTCTGTACTTGATCTTATTTCACTAGGTCAAGCCATTTTTCAGTTTTCCATCTGGACACTGCTGCTATTTCTCCAAAGTATCCAAGGAAGTCATCAGATTCAGAGTACTATGAAATCTCTTTCAGGATAGTTTGGTTTTAAAAGAATTCATCACTTACTCCATACTGTAAAAATGCTTTATAGGAAATCTGATTCTTAGAGAAAAATGATAGTTGCAGTTACTAAAAATAAGCATTTAAAAACAGTAGCTTCTCTACTTAGAATAGGGGTCAAGAACCTTTTTTTTAGTAGGGGAAAAAACCTATTATATGCTTGCATGTATTCTCTCATTTGATCTTCCAATAATCCTGTGTTCAAAAGAGCTGTTACTATGAGCTCCATTTTACTACTGAGGAAACAGACTGAGAAAGTTCATAATTTGCGCAAGATTACCTAGTAAACAAGTGGTATAAAACTGTAACCAGAATCCAGGCCTTTGGTGATATGTAGTTCCCTTTCCAGTACACCAAACTACCTAAATGGCAACTTAATTTTGTTTTGCAAAGAGAAATTGTTAAAAAGAAATCATTTTAAATAGACTGGGAACATTTTCTTAGAATCATTATAGTTGATACCTTTTATTCATCCAAGAACTATGTAATAAGCATTCAATAAATATACTCTTTAAAAATATTTCTTTAAATGATTGTCAGTTAGCAACGGGAGAGAAGGAAGAAAGACGTAACTTGAAAGATAAATTTATTTACTCTTTTTTGTTATAAAGGGGAAGGAGGAGATTATAGAAGACATCTCTCTCCTAGAGGAGCTTCCTAGCCTATATTGACCCTTTTTTCTAAGCAATATGTAATTCTCAACCTCATGCCAAGTCATACTTGTACTATGGTGCTACAAACTACTTACTCCCATCTTGGTCAAAGCTGCACTCACAACACAAACTGAGACATTCAATGTTTTCTTCTTAGAACAGGAAAGCTAGATGAAGAGGGTCTAGTTTGGTGGAGGCTGCAAGCTACCTATAAGCGCTCTCTCAGTCTACAGGAAAAAGACAGCAAAGAGAGAATGAAAGAATGAATATGCCACTCAAGAGTGAATCTGACCCAAGAGGCCATTTATCTCCCATTTCTACCAGGAGAAAAAACAAGAGAAAGATGGAGAGAAAGCGAGAGAGGGAAAGAAACAGTCTCTTCCTAGGAGTGTTCTTGGGCTTTCCTCCTATTGCCATATGCCCTGAGTGGCCAGAGCTCTTCCTTCCCTAGGTTCCCCAGGGTTCTAAGAATCCCCTGGCATCTAGGGTAAATGGCCCTCCTTTTTATGAGCTTAATTTTTTTGAACTGAAATGTGACAACTGCAACAAAAAATGATCTTGTCCAAGATAGTAAAAACGTATTTTAAAAGTAGAGCTATCACCAGAATGCATTATAAAAGAATATACTACAGGAATCTCAAGGGTTCAAAAACATCCCCTCATTAAACAGAGAAAATCCTACACTGCTACATGGGCAGTGTTATATTGGCTTTTACAGGGAAAATGGTTTATTTTCTAAGAGTAACATTTCTGTGTTCTTCTAAGATTCAGACCTTGCTGCAATTTAAGGCATAATCTGAATCACCTCTTGTTATGTCATCCAGTCTGTCAAAAACCAAGTCAGTCTGTTTTTTAACAGTATAAACTTATTTTTATCTCTTAAAACTTCTTAACTTCTAGGCAATGTCACCAACCTCTAACATGAGACTGGCACCCTAGGTTCTTGGAGAGGGCATAGGAGGAAAGAAAAGGGGCTGGAGAAATGAGTCCTACAAGGAAAACACAAGGAGCTGTGATCTTATAAATTAGAGCTAGAAAAACAAAAACAAAACAAAACAAACAAAAAACAACCTGAAACCTTGAAGGCTGACTCCAGTCTCTCCATACTAGATAAGAAATGACTGAAAACCAAGAGAGATTTATCTCAGCTGGTTTATTTATCCAATAAAAACATGTTGAGGCTGGGGCACAATGGCTCACACCTGTAATCCCAGTACTTTGGGAGGCCAAAGCAGGAGGATTGCTTAAGTCCAGGAGTTCAAGACCAGCTTGAGCAAGAGCGAGATCTTGTCTCTACAGAAATCTTTTTTAAATTAGCCAGGCATGGTGGTGAATGCCTGTAGTACCAGTTCCTCAGGAGGCTTAGACAGGAGGATCACTTGAACTTGGGAAGCTGAGGCTACAGTAAACCATGATTACACCACTGTACTACAGCCGGGAGCAATGGAATGAGACTCTGCCTCAAAAACAAAACAAAACACATTGACAATGTGCTCCAGGCCAAGCACTGTGTTTGGCACTAGAATTGACAGTGTTATTCAACTGAGCCACCTAACTCCTAGGTTGTGCATTTTTCTCTCAATCCTGATACTTGCTGCAAATGGAAAAGTCCACAGACCTAAAATAGCCCACGTTTTGTTTTCCATGGTGATCTTGGGGGAAAAAAAAATGACTTTGTTACTAACATTTAAAAGGTAGGAAGATTCACATAAAATTCCAAACTCTTGGTTTCTCTGGGAAAATCTAAAAACCTGGCGACAGGGCTAACCTTCCCGGAGGGGGATAAATGAATGATGCTGTGTTAAGAGCTGCCCTTTGTCGCTGGGCATGTAATTTCCAAAGTATCCAGCTGGCTGCATCACTTTTTTTCCTTTCAGACCTGACCCCTCCATGCTTGTGCCCCAGAGCTATATTGTCTTCCTAAATCTTTTCTCTCAAATGAAAAACCACCAAATTTTTAAAGCAGGTTACAAACATGTTTAAAGCAAGTTATATGTCAACTGCAGGCACATTCTCCAGAAATACATATTAACATGGTTTCTAGTTTACTCCCTCCCTTTGGACCCCAGTTCTACCTTGCTTTCACTCTCACAAGCTTTCTCCTTGGCAAAGCAAATTTAAGAATGAAACTCTATATACAACCTTTTTTTCAAAGGTAATACTGTGTATTCCCCTCTTCAAAGGTTAGAGGGTTTTTCTACCTTTTCATGTGTTTTCTACTGAGCTACAGCCACTGCTCAGTTACTCCACTGAACATCAAGTCAGTGTGAAAACACATGAGTGGAGAGGGAGCTAAGACCAATTATGAGGAAGGGCTCCAGTAACTCTGGCCTGGGTTTGAGTACATTTCAGTCACTGCAGTCAGTCCTAGGGCTTTCCCACAACTTCATAGAACCCCTCACAGGGAGTCTTATTTTTAAAGGAGCTTCCATTTTCTAACAGCTTCTATAAGTACATACCTGCACAATGTTCAGTCCCTCTCCTCTCTCCAAATATGTTCAATATAGTCATCCTTCACTCTTGCCATTTCAGGATGCACACTTCTCCCATCTTGAGCCCATGTCTCCAGGCTTCACTGAGGTTAACTAGGATCCCTCTCATTTTAGCAAAGAAAGGTCAGCAAGACTTTTTTTTTTTGGTCCATTATTTGTGACTATAGGGCACCATTTCACTATTAGCCCAAAAGAAATTTAAAATACAAATTTCCAATAGTTCTCTAATTTGTCATTGTGCAACACCTTAATCAAATCAATCGATTTGAAAGCAATTTATAAGAGCACATGACAATAGTAGTAGTAGTAGCTGACATTTACTGAA